ACTAATTGATCAAGAAAAATAATATAACTTCATATTTCAACCTAAGAAAAGAACAGGGACATGTTATGATAAATAAACTGCTTTTTCTCCAGTCAAGATTTTAAGTTGGGTTTTTGAAGTTGTTTGGACTCTTTCCATAAGCTATTAAAACTTTAGTATCAGGTCTGAACTCTCAGTGGATGGAAAACAGCAATAGAATTATGGCCAGGTGGCAGGAAAAGACTCCTGCTTCTAATGTTTATGTTGTCCTGATCAAAACTTTCCATACTCTACTTGGTATTTTGTTCTGTTTTTCTCTCTCTCTATTTTCTTGCTATAGTCTTAAAATGAAGACACCCAGTGTCATGCAATCAATATTTCTTTTTATAATGACTGGAAAACCCATAGCAGAGTTAGCTGTTAATACTCTCCAAAATAACTGGGACAGCTATTCTGCAAGAAGCCAGTAATAAGTGGTAATAATGATGACCTTCTAACATATTTAGGAAACTCTCATGTCTGTACCTATGCAAACACATCAATTAAAAAGTGATGGGGATTAACTAAAGCAGGAGAAGACACTGCCCAAGACAAAGCAAGACGCAAGAAGATAAGAGCTTGGACCAAAAGGATTACCTCTGAGGATAAGAACCAAGAGATCAAATAGGTTTTGTTCCTCTGTGCTTTCATCAGTGCACACTGAAAAATCATCTTGTAGTAATCTCTATCTGGATTCCTGGGGAAGTGGTGGAGAGAGTCTCTCCATTCTATCCCAATAAAGAAAAAATTACTTTGAAAATTCGATATTATTAAGGAGCAGAGTAATTTTTAATGAAGATAATTAAATTTGTACTCCCATATTAATGTTTCTTAGAATTCAGTTAGTATAACATTATTTTCCATATTAATCTGGGAAATGTACATGATGGAAAGTTGAGATGGGATTGCCCAAAATGGCAGAGCTCAACTTATCTAAAAAAATCACAAGTCCCCAGGGAGTCATGATACTCACAGCTGTGGGCAAGTTGTTCTCACAATCTTACCTTCCTTGCAGGGTTCTTGTTCAATAAAGTGGGAAGAAGAGCATATAAACTGCTTTAGTTTATTGGGGGGAGGAGTAACCATGAATGTAAATTATTGCTGTGTGCTGCCAAGTTGCTTTGGACCTATACCAGACAAGTCAATTAATGACATCCAAAAGGTCCTATTATTAATAGGCCTGCCCAGATCTTGCAGACTAAAGATCATGGCTTCCATTACTGATTTAATCAATCTCTATCTCTTTTCTTACTCTGTTATATCTCTGTTGTCCCTTTTAGTGAGTCTTGACTTCTCATGATGTGCCCAAAATATGATAACTTCAATTCAGTCATTTTGGTTCTAGAGAGAGTTCAAACATGGATTGCTCCTGAACCCACTTATTTGTCTTATTGGTGATTCATCTTAGCTGTAATGCTGTCCTGCAGTACATTTCAAATGAGTCTCTCTCTCTCTCTCTCTCTCTCTCTCTCTCGCGCGCGCGCGCGCGCACGCACGCACGCACGCACGCACACACGCACACACACACACACCATGAAATTTCCCAAGTGTCCAGTTTTGACATATACATTTACTGCAGTACAGATTATCGTAGTCAGGGTCTCCAACAATACACTCTCACATCTAAGGATCTTTTCTATTAATTCATAACCCTCCTTCTGAATTTAGGTCATGCTCTAAAGACTTGGCTAAAGTCTCCATTTTGACTATTGAACCAAGTAACAGAATTGACGTATAGACAGTCACTAAAAATTCTGATTTCTTCATTATCAACACTGAAATTATGTAATTCTTCTTTTGGCATGATATTTGTCCTCTTTAAGTTCAGCTACAGTCCTGGGGTTTTTTTTAATTTCTTTTTTAACCTTCACCAGTAATCCTTTCAAGTCAACATCTTCACTGAAGTCTGCATCTCTCATGTGTAACTATGCACATGTGGCCCCCAAATCCATGAACCAGTATCACATGTAACTTCAAGGTCAAAATGTGCATAAATGATTTATGATTTTATTGGTTAGTCTGGCTAAATTTTAACTTTTATGAACTCTTTTTAACTGTCACTGTACCATGAAATCATAACAAAAATAAGAATAGGTTTTATTTTAATTTAAAGGAAATACTGCTGTCTAGGACATCAAAGGAAACCTTGCCACACCTAGATACAGAGTTACTAATTGATCAAGAAAAATAATATAACTTCATATTTCAACCTAAGAAAAGAACAGGGACATGTTATGATAAATAAACTGCTTTTTCTCCAGTCAAGATTTTAAGTTGGGTTTTTGAAGTTGTTTGGACTCTTTCCATAAGCTATTAAAACATTAGTATCAGGTCTGAACTCTCAGTGGATGGAAAACAGCAATAGAATTATGGCCAGGTGGCAGGAAAAGACTCCTGCTTCTAATGTTTATGCTGAGGCGACCCCTATCACGCCTAGGAGGATTACACAGCAGAAAGGGCGCGAAAATCTCCACAGGCTAAAAGGAAAAAGAGCGCGCCTGACAACAGCTGTGGTAGCGAGAGAGGGGGCGTGGCCTAGAGGCCGGACAAGCCAGGAGCCACAGCCACGCGGCCTACGAGGTGACGGCTCACGTGGCGTGACACAACCGCTGAGGGCGCTGGACGTTTCATGGAACGACCTCAGGGAACCCCTCGAGAAGGGCGTGGCGATCATGGATACGGCGTTTTATCGCGGAGAGGCGGGGCTTTTGGCAAACTGACAGTTTGCCTCGAGGGCGTTATTCGAACCGGGTTTAAGAGCTTGGACCAAAAGGATTACCTCTGAGGATAAGAACCAAGAGATCAAATAGGTTTTGTTCCTCTGTGCTTTCATCAGTGCACACTGAAAAATCATCTTGGAGAAGGGGACAACAGAAGACAAGATGGTTGGACAGTGTCACCGAAGCTACCAACATGAATTTGACCCAACTCTGGGAGGCAGTGGAAGACAGGAGGGCCTGGTATGCTTTGGTCCATGGGGCCATGAAGAGTCAGACACGACTGAACGACTAAACTACCACACCATAATATTGGCAGGTTGCTTGGCTTGTATGAAGCTGTTTAATGTTTTGTTTGCCACTTGATCCTTATTTGGTTTTAAACTGCTAAATACACAGATGTTCCTTACAGTCAGGTACAGGTGGCACGCTTAGTTGGTGATGTGTTGTGGCTGTTTGTTGAGTGTGTGGGAACCTCTGTTCTGAGTGGATGGAAGAAAGCATTTGCTTGGACTTCATTGACATTATTTTTACTTTCATCACCTCTTCTTCAGATACTGTATAACATACCTTTGTTGGATGTGAGCCTCAATAAGTGTTCTTTTTGCTACTATGTTTCACTCAATACACTCTGATACTTTTCTGACATAAGGTTACCATCACAATGGCACTCTGCTCACATGCTCTCCATGAAGGTGAATCCAAGACAAAGGAATTTAAGAGCAGAACTACAGTAACTCCCTAAGAAGGCAAGAAAGAATATGGAATTTACAATACTCTGGCCAACACTAATTTATAATCTTATTGGCAACTGAAAGCACTGTGTTCTGACAGGATTACAATATTTAATCCACATTTTAAAGTTAAAATTTAGTATCAAATTTTAATATAGCTACTTTGCCTAGGATACCCATTGTTGTATAATAGACAGAGTGGTGGACGAGGACTTGGGAGGCCCGGGTTTGAAACCATGGAAACTCACTGGGGGGAAGGAACTGGTAAAAACCACTCCTTAAATCTCTCTCTTCTCTTCTCTTCTCTTCTCTTATCTTGAAAGCTGTATTAGGATTACTGTGAGTTGGTTCTGATTTTACTACACCTAACAATGACAGTTAGCCTAAGCTTGCTGCCATTACATTCTTAATTTTTAAGACGCTGTTATGCATTTTAATATACATTTTACATGATGATTTTAATATTTCCACATGTAATAATTTTAATTCTCCTCCCCTGCCAACCAGGATATGGAAATGCTTGTGAAATTTTCTATTTCAAATGGCAAACATGTTGACTGACTTCAGGTACCATTCTCCACAAATTTGGGGGTGGCGGGACATGGTATTATTTGCTGTTCTGCTTCAGACAGCAAAATATCTTGGTCTATCCCTTGTCAGCCATCACTGTGTCTCTTTTATATATTTGTAGCACATTGCTTTTTAGATTGGGAAAGTAGAAACGGCTGAAATCTAAGATGAATATTTTAGATACACAGAACTGTGATTATTTCCAACCTTTGGCTCACATCTGTGAGTGCTGTGTAAATGGACAAAAAGAAATAAAATTAAATAAAACAGGATGTTTGTTTTGCTTGGGGCATTATGCTCAGCAGCTGCAATGCGATGCTGTGGCCTGCACGTGTGAATGCGTGTGCAGGAACTTCCAAGGGGCATAGCTGTCATTTGCTGACAGTCCTCTGATTCCTTTGATAAGAAAAAAGGTATAAACTCAACAAGTGTATTTCCTTTTGATTCCATATTAAAGACTCCCCCCCCCCCCCCTCTACTGAACCTCGCCCGTT